GGGAAGTTTCATAAAGCTTGAAAGTAAGAATTTTTTTATCAGTTTTATACCGTTTTTTTCACAATATTTTGAAGTTACTTGTCAGTCAAATGTTAAATACATATATTAATTTCCTGCTATGCGTTCCAGTTGTACCAACTTATATCTCTGTAAAATAAAATAAACTGCTTTGAAATTAAAATGACAGACACATCTATCACTGTCAAGGATCTTCTCGTTGGACAGACTATATTAGTTGTCCTAAATACCTATATGTATTTTTCTGTTATTTCCAGTGTATTATAATGTTGTTTCTAGCAGTTCGTTGTCCATTATTTAGTTTTTGCTAAATTTATTTTGATGCTGACTTTATTAGTTCTTTAATTTTTGTTAGTAGTTCTTCAGGACTATCTTGTTGCCTCATTGGATAGTCAAGTCAAGTGCTATTAATATAATAATATAAAAATATCCAAAGATTTGATTGCAGCCGCTTCGGCTTTTAAAATAATTTATAAAACAGTCGAACAAAAGCAATGTAGAAAGCAGGAAAGCAGTAGATAGTGGATGACACAAATATTCACAAGGAAAGAGGTATACTCCTGTGGAAGTTAAAGCGTTTTCCTCAAATAATCCAAGAAAATAGGCCTTCAAATACGAAGTTTTGGTAAACACTTTTGATAATCCAGTAAAATTGTATCGCCGTATAGAGAGTGAAAATAAAAAAAATACGGGCAAGCTGATTTTTTCAGAGTTTGTCAGCGACTGTCTTCTGAGTGTAAAATTAACAAAATCGGAAATTTTCCCCTTGCGGTTTTTGAGCAATAGGGGTGTTTTTTTTAAAACAGTACTACAACAAAATAATTAGACGCAAATTGTACAGGGTGGGTCAAATTCGACGCTTTTAAATGGAAACACCCTTTTCTATAGGAGATAGACAAAAACTAATATCGGTATCTGGAGCTCAATTTTTATCAAAAACATGATGGTGAAAACCGCATATCGATATCCGTTACCGTTTCGGAGTTACGGACACCCTCTATATTTTTATTTAACTGAAAAGAATTTAAAATTACCTTTCCAAAAATATAGCACACTTGATATTTTGTTACAATCCCCTTCGAAATACAGAATTTTTAAAAGTTCGCCACTTTTAACTAGTAGGCTTTGGACCCCTTATTGATGATATGCCCTTAATGGAACTCGAAAACATATTTTTCCAGCAAGACGACGCACCGCCTCTGAACGCTGATGTTATCAGCAAATTTTTGCAGCCAATTTCAAGAATAATTGAATAGCTAACCAAGATCCTAGTCGTTGGCCATCGAGGCCGCCTGACTTAGTGCCCATGGATCTAATCCTATGGATATATTTGCGGAAGAATAAAGGTTCCTTATTCTTCCGTATAATCTAGACAAGAATTAGATATACTTAGCAGTTATGAGAGGTTATCTTTCACCCACCTTAATGAATTCCGCGAGAAATGTTCAAAAACTGCCCCGTCTGTCCATAACAGAAGACGGTCGATATTCGAACACCTGTAGCAAAATCTCATGTCTTGGTTTGCTATTTATTTCTATTGTTATTAAATATAGTTTAAATGTGTTGATGTTGGTTAAATATATTTTAAATTGTAATAAAATTCTGCATCTCTCATAGCAAATATTATTTTCGTTTTAATTGATGCTCACAGCTAGAATTTTGTTGCATTACGGCCGGTGTCGTTCAAAGCCTAGTTATTTCAAGCGGGCGAATTTTTATATACTCTATATCTCGAAGAGGAATCGAGCAAAATATCAAGTGTGTTATATTTTTGGAAAGGTAATTTTAAATTCTTTTTAATAAATTAAAAATATACAGGGTGTCCCATATAAAAAATCAAATTTTCTGTTAATAATTCTTAAATTATTAATTTTAAAAAAATTATACTTAAACCATTAAATTCTACGTAAAAAGGTGCTTTGGAAATGTTTTAATAAAAATACAAAATTTTCCATAGCAAAAAAGTTATAGCGATTTGTTAAAAATGCATATTTTTGAAAAACACCCCGTAACTCCTAAACGGTAACACATATCGATATGCGGTTTTCACCATCATGTTTTTGACAAAAATTGAGCTCCAGACACCGATATTAGTTTTTGTCTATCTCCTATAGGAAAGGGTGTTTCCATTTAAAAGCGTCGAATTTGACCCACTCTGTACATAACATTCTCTATAAGTTTGCCTAATGATTTTTTTTAAATTTATTATTTCCGGACTTAGCGGCCGTTTCACGAGCCCTTTGGGGTGGTTTTCAAAAAGTTCGTTTTACAGCAAGTTGACCCGTATGAAAGTTGTTCATAATAAATGGACAAGCAACTTTTCTTCATGATTTTTTTTGTAGCTTGAACAAGTTCATGAACAATAAATTATGGTAATTTTCAATGTTACTCTTTTTTCAGCAAATTCACCCTAGGAAACTCGTTCAAAATAAGAGTACATATACCTTTGTCTTATGAACTATATTTTGACGACGACGACTTTACTTCATACATCAGAGGTCCATCACAAAAAAGAAGACGATACAAATAAAAAAAATCATAATATTCATTCACTTGATGAATTCCATCATTCGTTTTGGGGAAATAAATACATATCATAGAGAAGTTTGCATGTAATTTTAATATGAACACCTTTAAGTTGGTAAATTTGTAGAACTAAACAAAAATTATGAAACTACCCCAATTTGTTCATGAACTGGACGCTATCTCCAAAAACAATGAAGCTAAAAAAAATCATGAGGAAAAGTTGCTTGTCTATGAACAACTTTCATACGAGTCAATTTGCTGTAAAACAAACTTTTTGAAAACCACCCCAAAGGGCTCATAGTCCGGAAATAATAAACTTATAAAAAAATAGAGAATGTTCTTCTGTACAATTTGCGTCTAATTATTTTGTTGTAGTACAGTTTTAAAAAAACCACCCCTATTGCTCAAAAACCGCAAGGGGAAAATTTCCGATTTTGTTAATTTTACACTCAGAAGACACAGTCGCTGACAAAACAAACTGAAAAAATCAGCATGCCCGTAATTTTTTTATTTTCAAATGACAATTTTATTGGATTATGATTTTTTATGAATTACTTTGAAATATCTATAAACGAATTGTAAACTATTTTTTTAAATTCATCCCCGAGAAGGGGTGAAATAAATAAATAAAATTATTTTTTCGAAATTTCGGAGAAGCGGTAAGAAGTAGAAAAAATAGTTCAAATAAAAGTTGTGGAGCGTCCAATTTTAATAGAAATTATTTCCATACTTTTTTTTTGTTCAGATCAAAATTAACCGAGGTAGGGTGTATAGAAGCTAGGGGATCACAGTAGAAATTAAAAAAAAATATATAAGTTGCTAAAAGATTCATATATTTAACATTTTTACTCAATTTGCTTGGAAAATGATAAAATTCAATTAAGATTTTTTTAAATTACCCCCTAGAATGGGTGAAAAATATAGATAAAGTGTTTTTTTTTTCAAATTTCGGAGAAACGGTAAGAACTTTGAAAAGAATGTTTCAATAAAACTGTCATCCCCTACCTTCTAGAACCCCTATCTCAGTTAATTTTGATTTGAGAAAAAAATATAGAGACCACTTTTATGCAAAATTAGACGCTTTACAACTTTTATTTGAACTTTTTTTTTCTATTAGTGCTTACCGTTTCTCCGAAATTTCGAAAAAAAATATTTATTTATTTCACCCCTTCTAAAAAATCTTTCACAATTCGTTTTTAGATCTTTCAAAGTAACTTATATAAAAAAACGTATATATAAAAAAATCAAGTTTTTGTATTTCACAACATTTCTAAGTTCGTTTTTGTAGGACCTACAAAAACGCACTGTTCAAGGACCCTCTGTATAACAAAATTTAAATTAAAAAATGGCAACAAAAACAAAAAACTTTTTTCTCAAATCCGATGCCCTCAAACTCGTGCTATGGCTTGATTGAATTGATGAGGAATATACACATAGTGCAAATCATAGAACACTGACGCCTATCCTACGTAGATATTGGAAATAAGGTGTTTGACAGTGATTGATTGCCGCCCACTTTGCTTCGGGGGTTGAGTGAGTCATCTGTAAGTTCGAGAGCGTCAACCGCCCCTGGCAGTGGCGTACCGATCGGTCTTAGGGGCTGAATAAACATATAATTCAGCGTCGGAGATTATTCATTTTACATTTTTAAAAATGTAACGCAAATGAGGATGTGTTTTTGAATGAAAAAAAAAATCTAAAATGACTTTGAAAGACGGTAGGGGAAAGGTCCTTATATTGAACCACTTAAGCAAATATGTTTTTTTAAAAAAATCTCTATGACCCAATTTATTCCAAAAAAATATATGCCATCATTAGAAAATGTCATAAGCGCATATTTGGTTTGAAACACCTTAAAAATCTATTTGGTTGGGAAAAAATAAAGAATAAAAATTTTAAGTCACTTGTCCAATTTGGGATCTTGGTTTCTTATTTTGAACCATAGGTTTCCTAAATTGAACCATCCTAATTTCAAATTATTTAAGGAAAATATTTATTAAAACAAAGACAACGTTCTATAGGAAGTTAAAGATATAAGTAGACAACAAACTTAATAACATATCTCAAAAAAAAAATTAGTAGTATTATAGGATAATAACACACATAACATGGAACGAATCAGTTAGTCACTGTCAGAGTGATCAGATTCACAATTTATGCACCGATAAAAAATACTGTTTCGGCCATTAGCGCATTTCAAGTGAGCCCATTTTTTACATGAGGTGCATCGAATCCATTCTTCCCCTGGATTGGACTGTGAAAATGGATGTAGACAAACAATGCAAAGACTATCTTCATTGTCAGATTCACTTGACCATTCCTGTGGCTGAAGCAAAGGTCGGTGCCTTTTACGAGTCTTTTGCAATGACGCAGATGACTTTCCTTTGGTAGTTCCCTTTGCGGAGGAAAATACACTTCGAATAGTTTTAGAAGGAACCACCTTTTTACGTTGCTTCTTATGTAGTGCCATTAGAAGTGACTGTGCGTGTCTTTCGGCGCAAAACTGGCATAGGAGATATTTCGGACACAGATTTAAATTTTGGGAAGGATGTTGTGGAACATTCTGCTTCCACTGATTCTTCCAAGGTATAGGTAGATGGGATTTCCAAGGGGCTATTGACGCTAGTAAAAACTTCTTGCGCCACTGCTTGTGTTTTAGGTTCTATTTGGTCTTTTGGGGTATTTATGCAATCCATGTTATCACTGGGAAGACTAACAAACTCATTATCGTCAAAAACATTGGGATCTAAAGGCCATATGCCACATTTTGCAAAGCCGCTAACGGCGTTTCCGACCGATGCTGCTTTAGCATACGCTTCTCCAAGTAGCCTTGATACTTGAAATTGTGTAATATTTTGGCTATGATTGGCACGAAGCCACTTATCAGCTGCTTGATTGTAATATGAGCTAAGGGGCTTAAAAAATGAAATATCACACGGTTGCATCCTATGTGTGGTGTGAGCTGGTAATGACATCATAATTATTCCATTCTCTCTAGCTAGAGTTATGGCTTCCAGATTTTTGGTGTGTGTTGTGTGACCGTCCATAATTAAAAGCACGTTTTTATTTTTCGACGGTTTTACGAAATTAATAAAATGCTTTAGCCATTTTACAAATAATTCGCTGGTTATCCATCCCGATTCCGAACAAGCAAATATTGTCCCTGGAGGTGCGTCTTCTTTGAGTTCATCTTTAAATCTGATGCGTTTGAAAATTAACATCGGTGGAATGTTCATTCCGGCAGCATTAAAACAGCAAACGCACGTAGTATTTACGCCTCGTTCGCCACTTGTTAAAGATCCTATTTGTTGCTTGCCCTTTCGTCCAACAATTTTCTGTGGTCTCTGGACTGTAGAAAGACCAGTCTCGTCGACATTATATATCTCCGATGGACCAAAGTTATGCTTATCAAAAAGAGCAGTAAGACAATCAAAAAAAGTTTAACTTGTTCTTTGGTAAACCCTAGAGCCCTGGCCGATGAAGTAGGTTCTGGCTGACGAAGCGATAACTCTTTGTGTCGCGACATAAAGCAATAATACCACTTCTTACCGGCTTGTCCATTCTTGAATCTATGTCGAATCCCATTTGCTTCAGCGACGTCGTAAGCCAGCTTTCTTAAATCACTACGGGTTATTCCAAACAGCCTCCGTTCAAGCTCCAGAACATGTGTAACTATCTCCTTCTCTAATTCTGACGACCAAATTTTTTTTCGCTTCCATGAACATTCTTATTCGTATCATCAATTCTTCGTTTCAGCGTTGCCTTTGGTACCTTATATCTCCTAGCTATTTCATTTAACCCGGCAGCACCATTCTGAAATGCGATTAACGCTTTATTCATATTTTGTTCACTCCATTTCCCATATTTTGCACATTCTGTCATATTAACTTGAAATAAAACACAGTTGCTTAATTTGGACCGGTCCGATATAAGAACCTTCTAACAGTTCAATTTAGGAAACTATAACCTTGAATAATATTTATAACTTCAAAAAGGTGTTGTTACAATTATCAGTTAAATTATATGACTAAACAATAGCTAATAGCCTGCTTAAACTGTATGTCCATTAAAAATGGAATATCAACTTACCAGTGTAATATTATGCCTTAGCGAAACTTATAACAATATTACATCAACCGGAGCAAAAACATGAAATATACGACTCTGTGGTTAATAAGAAAACTACTGACGGGCGCCTCCTTACTGGTGCTAAATAAGATGTAAGCTACAAATATCGGTCAACAGAGGCCGCTTTAGTCCGTTAATATAAAAATAAAAGTGGTGGTTCAATTTAGGATGCGGTCCAACTTAGGAGGCTTTCCCCTATATATAACAATGTTTGGTTATTTTAAATTCTACATTTAACAAAAAAAAATACCGGATGCTCCATTTTTAAAAAAACGAAGAAGAATTATTTTATATTTTAGAAACTTTGGCGTGGAATTTTGAACACTCTTTGTAATTTAAGAATACGATATTTATAGCAAAGTAACTATGGGGGGGGGGGGGCTAGCTATAGCAAATACCTAGTACCTATTATTTTGGTTTCAAGACATTTTTTGTATTTATAATATTTTTTTAACAGGTTAAATTGTAGAGAACAATATTTAGAAGATATAATGGAGTTAAAAAATTATTAGAAGAACAGAAAAAAACACACAAATAAAGCTAAAGTAATATATTTACGATTTAGAATGCTAGACGTACGAATGTGTGGGCTAAAATTTAGCTGTACAGAAACTTCATTATCATTAATTACGTATTTAAAAATTATTTACATAACAGAAACAGCTTAAACCTAATAAAGATATTTGATCGAAGTGGCGCTATGTATAAGATTATGTACAATTTCATCAATAAAAAAATTCTCCTATCCTCATTCCAGAAATATACTTTCCAATAAAACTATGCACCTAAAAATTTTCTTTTTATTTACACAATGATGGAAAAATCTGGTGAACTTTGATCTCTTAAATTAATATTAAGAGGTTTCTCATCGTGATTTTCAATTTCCCATTTAAAAAGCAGGGGGAAACTATTTTTTTTTTGGAAATGTATTGCGTTCTAACAAATTAGCATATTGTAAAAATCAATACATATTCTTGTAGAAAATTAAACGGTCTTCAGAAAAGGTCTGATATGATTTTTCATTTAATCAACTCGTTTGAAAGTTATTGAAGATGATTGTTAATAAAAAAGTTATTATCTAAAAAGCTATATTGCCTCTTGCGTAAGGCACCTTTTCTTCAATAGAGCCGTCATGGATTTGTTTGTATTTTACACCAGGCAAGATATAAATAAAAAACAGTCATGGTTGGAAATAAATGACTACACGGAAAAAAAGCTAAACTGGCTTAAAGATTATTAATCTTGAACCAACGATATGCTAGTTTCCCCATTCCGCAAATCTAGTTATACTTCTTTTAAAGAAAACCTTATCCTTAGAAGCTAAGAAAATTTATCTTTTATTTAAGATTTACCTAGTATTGAAATTAAGATTATAATTACACTCCAGACAATTCGATAAAAAAAATCTTGTTTTGAGTACTACTTATACTTATTTGTAAATTAGCAAATTATTGCATTAAGTATAGAAATAATTTGTGTAATGTAATAATTACCTTATTCAAGTGTAATATCACCTACTATAATATAAAGCCTCTTCTAACTTTTAGGTTAGTTACTAGACGCGCCGACTAGGTAGTTTATAAAATTATAAAGTTTTTTTGTTATCGTTTGTGCCTGTGATATGTGAAAATGGAGGACCTTCTTCAGGCATGGGAGATGACGATTTGATCCCAAAATTTCAAGGTAAGTTTAGCAAAAATCCTACATTATTTGATGACATTGGTTGGAGGTTAAGAGAAATTTAAATTAAAATGAATATTGAAATATCACCAGAATAACCCCGAATATGGCTAATACTTTTTAAATTAGATTAGCCAAATATCACCTACCAAATTATATGCTTTTCGTAATAAGAAAATACAATAAAACTGTGTAATTTCCCAATATAGGTAGATATTGGACAGCGGCATCGCTAATTAAAAACGAGAAACAGTAATAAAAATTGTTAAAACATAATTGAATCATTCCAAAAGCGTACATACCTAGTTTACCACCAGTGTATAAGAAATAATGCATATTAAAATGGAGTCCTCCTAACCTCAAACCAATGTCATCAAATAATGTAGGATTATTGCTAAAATTACCTTGAAATTTTGGGATCAAATCCGTCATCTCCCATGCCTGAAGAAGGTCCTCTATTTTAACATATCACAAGCACAAATGAATACAAAAAAACTTTATATAAAGTACCCAAGTCTCGTGCCACAGAGGAGAAACAGAAACCAAATGAAGATAGGAATCAGGAATGCACTGTTGCGTTGTTGCTGTTGGGGATGGTCACTTAATATAAGAATAGTAACTCTTGGAAATGGGGTGTTATTCTCGCGCCGAGAATAATATACTTATTTAAAGTCTTAATACACCGATTTCAAGTAAAAGTTTTAAAAAAGTTAAGAATACCTACTTATTATTATATAAAAACATTTATACTTCATTTAATAATAGTTTCTTCGTTGGTAAAGGATTTATTCACTTGATAGTAATATAAGTTTTTCTTAAATATAAGTCATTTTATTCTTTTTTTTTAGATTCAAAATTACTTAAAGTGATTATAACTATATTTAAAAAGCAAGTGTAAAAGTAAAATAGTTTCAAATATTTGTTGTACTCATGGAAAGAATACTATCCTTAAAGAAAGTGTAAAATTTTAAGTGTATGATTGTTCTTGAATATAGAAATGATTTTTTTCTGTGTATATTGAATGAGGATGATTCCTAATTATTGTAATTAACATTGTAAAATTTTTGTTATAGAAAAATATAATCTGTTAAAGGTAACGAAAATTAAAAGAGGGTAGTATTACGTTACTTAAATATTAAAAGTTATTTTGATTAAAAAAAAATTATTTGACCATGGCTTTGGTTGTAAATTATAATTAATCGTAATTATCTTACATTACATAATAATCAAGTGTAAATAAATAATATAAGCAAACAAGTATTATTGGTTTAGGATTTCTTAAGAAGTTATTAATTTTTTTAAGTCATTACCAGGTGAAAAACAATTCTAATGCCACTTGATTAAATATAGAAAAAATATATTTTTCGTTACGATTATTTGTATTTCGTAAAAAAAATCAAGATTTTACCAAAAACACTTGATGAACTTTACGAAAAATAGGATATTTTATGTTTTTGAGCCATTATTTCGTGAAAAAATATAAAAAATTGTGTAAAAAAAGTTATCATAATGCCAAGAGCAAGAATTATCATTAAAATAAATCACCCAATATATTAAATAAAATATATTTCTATAAACAAATTATTTGCACAATGAAAATTAGACTAGAATAAGTTGACGACTTATTGGCGATTCTTATTGTTGTAAATATCAATATGTAGAATAATTAACAAGTACAACATAGGAGAGTCTCGGCTCTCTCCAAGGAGAATGAATCAAGAAGTCATGCTGTTCAGTTGAGTGGAGTTCCCAAGTGTCATAATGACAGTAAAGTAAGTTTATAATTTTTATATATTTTCTCTTAGTATATTAGTATATTTTATTGATCAAAAAGGTATTCTACTTGACATTTAAAGTAAACAAAATGAGAAGAGTGTCCGTAGAGTTTAACTCTCTAAACCTAAACAAAAAAAAAAATAAGTTTAATTTAAAGAAATTTTTTATATCAAGGAGCTATTACACTCTAGACGAATTCTTCCGGGAGCCGGAAATTCCAGGCTTGTCAGCACATATATAATAATGATTCTTCTTTACAATTGTTTTTGTTTGTGTATAAAAACATGTATAGTTGTTTTATATTTGTATTTGTATGATTTTCTGTCAAAAATTGTTGTTTTCTGTATATATATTTATCGACGATCCTATAATCTAAGTACCATGTATTTATATTAAAAGGAATTAATAAACTAAACTAAACTAAACTATTTCTCCGGCCTAAATTAATGTATTTAATTCTTTAATAAATTTATATTTTGTTTTTATATACAGGGTGGTCCGAACTGTATTCCGGAAACTTCGGCAGCATATTTTGCAGATAAAAATAAGTAAAAAAGTTCGTATAAATGTATGTCCTAAAATGCTTAGTTTTGGAGATACAGGGTGTAGAAGTTACAATTTTATTTCGATTTTTTCCAAATAATTTCTGAAGTAGCGTAAATATTTGGATGAAAATTGGTGTCTGGGAGTTTTTTGACATGACAAATTTGATTTTCATGTCAATATGACTTCTACTTGTAGGAGGCGCCATCTACACATTTTTAACTGTTTTGAAGTGTAAGAACTTTTCGTCCGTATAAGACAACTTAGTAAAAAAATATGCATTTACGTTTTTTACGTAAAAGATGTCTTTTAGTAAAAATCGCTACGAGTAACGGTTTTCGAGATATTTAGAATCCAAATTATCAAAACCTGTCATCTTTGTCATAAATTAAGCATGTTGACTAAATAGTTATTAGGCTGAAATCATAAATTTGAATTGTTTTTGTGCTAAAAGTTGTTCATCATTATTTTTTCTCAGAAAAATTTAAGATTAATTAAAAAAAATAAAAAGTTGTTAATAATGACATGTATTGACTATTTCCATTCTAAATATCTTGAGAACGGTTGTTCGTAGCGACTTTTACCAAGAGACATTTTTTACGTGAAAAATCACAGAAATGTATATTTTTTCACTCAGTAGTTTTATACAGGTACGGACGAAAAGTTATTACTCTCCAAAACAGTAAAAACACATGTAGATGGCGCCCTGTACAAATAGGAGTCATATTGACATCAAAATCAAATTTCTCCTGTCAAAAAACTTCCAGACACCAATTTTCATCCAAATGTTGACGTTACTTCAGAAATTATTTGGAAAAAATCTAAATAAAAATGAAACTTCTACACCCTGTATCTCCGAAACTAAGCATTTTAGGGCATACATTTATACGAACTTTTTTACTTATTTTTATCTGCAGAATATGCTGCCGAAGTTTCCGGTATACAGTTCGGACCACCCTGTATATTGATATTTTTAATGATCTTCGATACCTAAAACGTCCATAGCCCACTAAATCAGGGTCGCGATTTGAAGTTGAACTTCTACCTTCAATAACTTTCAAACTAGTTGATTAAATGGAAATTCATATCAGACCTTTCTTGAAGACTGTTGAATTTCCTACAGGAATATGTATTGATTTTTACAATACGCTGATTTGTTAGAACGCAATACAATTAAAAAAAAATGTTTTCTCTTAATATTAATATTAAGAGCTCAAAGTTTACCAGAATTTTTTTTCATTATCGCGAACGATATTTTTAGGGTAACTAAAAAGAAAAAAAATATATCCTTTAGAGAATATTTATTACCGAAATATGAGTGCTAATTTTTATAATTTCCCGTAATTTTTATTGAATTCAATTATTTTTAACTGAGCATTTTTAAGGTAAAGTATATTTCTCTTAAATGTTTATGCTAAGTACACTGTGCATTGAAAAAAGGTAAAAAATACCAAAAACTAATTGAAATGTACAACATGTATAATTATTTACATTTTAATTTATGTATAATCTATCTACGTAAAATTCGATTGCTAACCGATTGTTTCATAATTTTATGTAATATGTACAAATAAACAAATCTAATAAGATTGTCAAAAATGTTTTTTTTTTAATTTATAATAATATGATAATTATCTTATTATTTTTATCACAAATAATGCATATTGAAATTACTTTAAAACAATCGTGCACTTTCAGTTTAACAATTTAACATACCGGGGATGTCTCAAAAGTATGACTCACCCCTATAACTTTCTTATTTTTTCTGATAAAAAACGAGATTTGGAATGTTAGTATATGGCATAAATTAGGGATTGATTGACGTATTCAATTATTTTCGGTCACTTCCTGTTTCACCGGAAATGTCTACAACTTTTGATTTTTAAAAGACACCATTAGTATTTTTTAGTTCATTCGATAGTAAATGACATTCTGAATAGAATGACGTAGCATATGTCAACTTTTGACATTTTTAATTAAAAAATAGCATTTTAAATTTTAATTTAGTGTGCAGTAACCATAAATATAACGACAATTTGACTGAAATACCAAAGGTCTGTTCTCAGAAGAATCCCTGACTAGTCAGCACGATTCTCATTGGTTAAAATGCGTAGAAACCTGATTGTTAGTCTGGTTTCTACGCATTTTAACCAATGAGAAACGCGCTGACTAGTCAGGGATTCTTCTGAGAACAGACCTCAAGTGTGTGGTACCAAACTATTCCTAAAAAAATATTTTTCAAAATATGCTAAAGAACCACCCTCGTTCCATTTGAACAAATTGAGATATGATTAAAAATACAATTTGGGCATCTTTTAACTGGCCAGGATAAGACACGAAAAACATTAGACAATCAAATCTACTTTTCCAAGGCTCCTTGATTAAAAATTAGTGTTTTTAACACAGATTTAAATTTAAAATACGATTTTTTAAGCAAAAATGTCAAAAGTTGACATACGATAAGTCATTATATTCAGAGCGTCATTTTCTATCGAATAAAGTAAAAAAAAAATAGGTAAGGTGCTATTTGAAAATCAAAAGTTGCAGTCATTTTCGGTGAAACAAGAAGTGACCGAAAACAACAATTCAATACGTCAATTAATTCTAATTTATGTCATATATTAACAACCAAATCTCGTTTTTTATCTAAAAAGATATATGGGAGAGCCACTTTTGAGACGAACCCGGTATAGAGGGCATTTGTTTTAAATAGATATTAAAAAATGTTATGTGGTGTTTGAAAAATCAAGGTAGCCTTATTAACATCTACAAATGTCTGAACAATACATTTATTTATATTTGATTGGATTAGAAAACCGTCTTTTATTGTGGAATTTACTAAAAATTACTTTTTTATTTAGATTTTCACCCTCCACATTTTTGTAACAGATGTAGATTGTATGAGAGGGATACAGTCTCAGGGCTTCGACAAGTCTAAACAAAGTTGTGTAAAATGACAAACAGTAAAATGACAACATATTATAACAAGAAAATTGCAATACACGATATTATTGCACGATAACCAGGACGTATATTCATTATCACTCAAAAAATTTATACAACTTTTACACCAAACCATTCACAAACAACACACCGAACTATCGAAAACACTATTACATCAGATCTGGTAGTACTCTGGTGTATAGTCATTAGCCAGATTGCTGAGAAAATTAAAATCAGAAGAGCTGTTGCTGCTTTCTGGCGGAGCTATGTGTGTGTTGCTGCTGCCGTTGTTCTCTCCTGCGTAGAACTGATGAAAACTGTTGTAGTTTTCTGCGTTGTCCGTGTTGACGCTTGATGGCGGCGTCATCACTCCGGCGGGGTTGCTGTTACTTCCGGGGAACATTTCCGGTGTCATGGAGTATGCCTGGTCGCCATTGGGTGGGATTTGGTTGGAGGAATATGAAGCCGTGTCATAGTAACCAACCTAGAAACATAATAAATATATATTTTTTAATTATATGATTTGTTACTTATTTTTAAAAAATTGTCAGTATTTTGCTTTTTTTTAAATAATTAACTTGTTTCCTAAGAGTATTAGTGAGATCCACCTTTTTTAAATCTAGAAAAAAATTCTGTTTTTTTTTCGCAACTGGAACATTTAAAAATAAAAAGTTATTTTTTGTACACCAAATTTTGTGGAAATTAATAATGATACTTAGGGTGTATTCCGTTGCAAAACCAGGCGAACCAGACCGGTAAACTACGGTAGAGAGCGGTTCCTGAAAAACATCGGTTTGATACGGAACGGTTTGGTAAAATACAGAGAGAAACTAATAACTAAAGTGAGAGGGCTTGTGGAATAGGGAATTTCGTAGACAAGTTTATTTTGTCACCGCGCATCCCAGACGCGCATAGCGTTTAGGCGGTCAAAAAAGGAAGTTTTCAACTTTGCAAGTTAAACATTTGACAGGAATAATTAGATTGTCAGTAGCTTTTTCCATTTCTTAGCTCTAGAAGGAGATAACTAAAATCTGTTGATAATCGGAGTAATAAATTGTTTTGGACTGAAGGTGCCTGTTCTTTTAGCTTGTCAGAAGAGAAGATTATTGTCATTATTGATTATTTCAGGTTCCACGATTATTCGGCATTTTTGTAATTTTTGTTTTGTGGTTGAGATCCAGAAAAAACGTTTCCTTTAAAGGTTTTTTAAGGTAATTATTTTAATATACCTAAGAGTAATAGTGAGTACACATAATAATCGTACATTGCTAATTTACATAAGCATAACCTATAGAATAAATCCGATTGTAAAAGTAAAACATCACATTCTTTTCTGATACCTATGGAACGATTAGGTATTATACCTGGTATTATTACCAGTAATACAAATTATTTTCTTCAACTGATAGGTTCTTGTTATAGAATAAAGACTATCAAAAACATTGAATACCTGCGGGATACCTACTGATACTCTAGGCGAGCTCCCATCCGTGCTTTCCTGTTCACTCCCAACCAAGTTAGATAAAAAAGATATTGAAGATTGCAGCCTTGAGTTGGCAAGGAGTATGGAGTTAAATAAATTATTATGTTCCTACACAGTATTTTATTTATAGGTTTTAATGCTTTAAAGTCTAATAATAAATTTTAGTTGTCAACAAAATAATCTAAAAAAACTACGAATATTTCTTATTATAAGCTTGAACGATTAAGATTTGGTTCAAATATACAAATTTTAAATTTTTGGCGCCAGTATATAGGTATGAATGCAACCTACTATATCGGTAATGCGCTCATAGTTCGGGTTAGACGCCAAAGGCCGCGCCACTAACACAGTCTTCAAAAATTAACGTTGATCGGTCTCTCTCACTTTAGTTATTAGTGTTCTCTCTGGTAAAATACTGGAAACGTCAAATGTTGACGTTTTCTAAATTTCAATACCTCTATTATAAAATTTATCTTTTATGCATTTTTAATGTACCTATTCTCTGCTTTTACGTTTGCTTCTTCTTTTCAATGTAGTTTAATATTGAAAAGTACTTTATTAATAAACTGTTAAACTCGTTAAACAGCTCAAGTGAAGATTTGCAGGTCCAATATTAAAACAGATCAATAATAAATAAACAAATCTAATCAATATTTATATTTTTATAGATTACAAAACATTCGCGATATCTTGTTGTCTTGTTTTTCATGTACCTGACTTTAAGAAACAACGGCTGCATGATAAATTTAAATGGTCCTAAAAGTCATTCTATTTAGTTAATGAAATTTATTTACCTTTACTGCCTACCTCCATTGCCTTTGGTTGTAAATACAAAATATTATTACAAATTTTAGAAATTAAATGAGAATTTCACTCGAACTTCCAATATTTGCTTGATTTCTGTCACATAAATGACATTGATTGACAAACAAAAACCAGTAAAACCAGCCTTCTTGCGCGGGTTAGTTTGGTGACAGTTATAATAGTACATGCGGTCCATAAAAAAACGTAGCAAATTAGGTTAAAAGCATGAAACTTGCCACAGTTGTTTAATAGGTCATTTTAAGCTATTTTACCCGCAGCACCTAAAATTTCACCCGCTGGGGTAGGGTTGCAAACCTTATTTAATTTTTAAGGGGTTAAAATTTTTCACAAATTTATTTCAATATTTTTGTTTAATTTTAGTGTCTTTTTTGACTAATTCGAACATGAAGATTTAAAAAAAAACGCCAACGCCACGGCTAGAAGGCACGTATCACCAAGAATTTTAGTAGAGTACCCCACTTTCTTATAAATTTTCTCAGTAGCACACAAATATAAAACATTTTTTTTTATTACCTGTTTCAGTGCATATGAAACAAACATCTTTTGTACATTTACCAATGGTGCAGTTGATCTTGTTGCTCGAGCGGAATTATTCCCCCCCCCCTTTGTTGCGAAATAGATGCCTGAAATTGTTCTTGAGACTCACAGCAACATGCTGCCTCAATAGATTTAAATAATGAAGAGAGGAGTATGTCAAATTTTGGTGAAACGTATTTTAAGTTGCATGCTTTGTGCCACAGTGCTTTTTTTTCGATTAATGTTTGCTCAATTTCTCCTTCCCCTTTAAGATGATTAATTTGCATGCCAGATGGAAGTACGTGATTGTAATTAGTTAAAAGTAGTAAATTGGAAGCTAAAGTACCATATGCTTTATTTCGAAGCGAAACAACTGCATTATGTGCAGGACAAACAGTTTTTCCACTACCAATCTGACAGATTTCTCTGAACATTTTTTCCAATCTATTAAGCGATCTAGGCGATGCGGTACTGCCACCGTTATTTTATTTTTATATTTTTTCATTTTCTTTTCATGCTACAAAGAAGCAAATATTACATTAAAAAACAAAAAAATAAAACCGAAGCCATATAATAATTTAGTGTAGGTACCTATTGTAATGAAAAATCTACTCACCGCCAAACGGTTTAATGATTAATATTTTGTTTGTTGCTCAACATAAATTATTATAATATATTAATTTATATTGCTTCTTTTGTTTATTTCACTATAAACTGTCAGTGGCGTCACTTAAAGCAGGTAAAAATTATTAAACGTATAAAAATTACGATATTGCGTTTATTTCTAGGGTAGGGATGATAAGCATATCAGTTTAACTTTGTTTATTGATAATAATAATATTAATAACAATAATTAATAATTGAGTTATTAGTTTTTAGTTAAATGTTATAAAAATATGTCACCAAATATTATACAATTGGCGTTGGCATTAAAATTTTGAATATTTTTAATCTTTTTTGTAAAAAAAGAGTAAAACCATAGACTTAAAATAAAATATAGACTGAGCATCTCATTCATAAATAGCTGGAACATGCGGTCAGACACTGTCTTGTTATTGTTGTGTTATTGTTTTAGGTTATAACGAGTGCGACACGATCGATAGATAGGTTGTCTCTGTCGTAACGGTCGTTCCCTGACCACTCTGCTGAGAAACACAACACTGTCTTTCGTTTCTCAAGTACACCTGAACTCTCCGTATCATAGCCGGGTAATTTTTTTATTTTAATGAGGCTATAATTAAATTAAAAATATATCGTATTTAAACTTTTTTATATTTTATTAAGATTTAGGACAGGTTTTTTAAATAAAAGTTTAGAAAAAACGTCTTAGAGTCCAAAATGGATAAAAATAATAAAATACACGTTATAGAAGAAATTTTATAACTCGTTTTATAATCGAAATTAGGTAATTTTTGAAATTAATAATAAATTATTAATTTTAGTCAAACATTTACAACCCCTAATATTAATCAAAACAGGATCTATTCCACAGATATAATAGAATCGGCGACAGGGAGAGAAAAAAAAAATATGATTGTTGTAATTTTTTTTCTGGTTAAGTGATGTCTTATTATGTAAATTAGAGAAAACATAAATCTGTTCCATTACAGCAAGGAAGGTGATAGGAAGTGAATAAAATAAAAACTACATTTATTTAACTCGGTACTGTCTTTATTATACCGGGTGCGTCTCAAAAGTGGCTCATCCCCATAATTTTTTTATATTTTCAAATAAAAAAACAAGATTTAGTATGTTAGTATATGAAATAAATTAGGATTGATTGACGCATTCAATTGTTTTTGGTCACTTCCTGTTTCACCGGAAATGACTATAACTTTTAATTTTTAAACGGCACCCTCGGTATATTTCTACATTATTCGATAGAAAATGACACTCTGAATAGAATAACATATATGTCAACTTTTGACCTTTTCGCATATGGTTTAATTGTAATTGTAACACGCAGTTCATAACGACAATTTGACTCGAAATACCAAGTGTGTGGTATCAATATATTCATAAAAAAATGCTTTTTCCAAATACGCTAATGAGTCACCCTTGTTCCATTTGAAAAAATTGACATATGTATGATTAAAAATACGATTTGTACATCTTTTAACCGGCCTAGACAAGACACGAAACCTATTAGACGATCAAAACTATTTTTCCAAGGCTCCTTGATTAAAACTTAGTGGATTGAAAAAAACTGGATTGAAATTTAAAATAGGATATGTTTTTAAGCGACAATGTCAAAAGTTGACATATGATATGTCATTCTATTCAGAGTGTCATTTTTTATCGAATAAAGTAGCAATATACCGAGGGTGCCTTTAAAAATAAAAAGATGTAATCATTTCGGTAAAACAGGAAGAGACCAAAAACAATTGAATACGTCAATAAATCCTAATTTATGTCATATACCTACAAACATACAAATCTGATTTTTTATCTGAAAAAATAAAAAAAGTTATAGGGTTGAGCCACTTTTGAGACGACCCGGTATATTAAAAAATATTGTTTCATAATGTAATATCATTTTAAAATTCTTGTATGTTATTTTAGATTCTGAAGATAATTTTAGAATAATCCGGAATATATTTTTAATAAAAACATTATTAATTATTAACAGGGTTATAATTATGATTTTGTTACAATGTAAGTAAGTAAATAATGTAATGTAAGAGAAAAAATTCAGATTTTACATTTTACTAAAATATAATCTAAATAAGCGCCTTTCTACAACAACGCCACTGACTGCCAATGGGTAAATTGAGAGTTGCCTACCGGTCAAAAGTCGTTTCAAGACTTAAATGGATTATTTAAGTCAAATTTCTTGCAAATTTGGCACTGGCGAACCATATTTTATAGTTTTTGAACAGAAAAAGTCAATAAAATAAACACTTAAGGACTACAAGCTAAGAAAATGCGTTAATACAGCCGGGGAGATATAGCGGCAACAAAGCTTTACCGCACACGTGCGACACGTACTACAAGGTATTAAATGAATGAATAGGCTCCCTCGCCTCTAATCGGTGTTGTCATATTGTAAAGAACTTATCCTTATTAAACAGTATCCGACTTATAATTTAGTAGTATAAGGACTATTTAATACATCTATGGAATATTAAAACCTACTTTATTAAACTGTAGTATTAATATCTCAATATATGTGTATAACAAGAAAAAAAATATTGATAATATTAAAGACGTGACAACATAGGCTGGATGAGGAAGGCTCGGTCGACTGTACCCAGAAGTAAACATGTGTACAAAAAAGGTTGTTTGTCCGCGTTGAGATGTAAATAGTGTAGTCTATATTTTATTTTAAGTCTATGAGTAAAACCATCATCATAAGGGGTGAAATTTGGGGTGCTGCGGCTCAAATCATTTAAAATGGTCTAAATAACAACTCTGGCAAGTTTCATGCTTTTAACCCAATTTGCTACGAACTATAACCGAATTTTTCAGAAACCGTGCTCCGTAATAAGAAAACTTTCAGGAAACCGATAGAAACGGAACATAAAACCATAACCAAGGTAAGCAACGGAATACACCCTTAATTATTAATTTCGAAGTTTAACTTCATATAATGTCATTTTAACAGAACGTCAACGGTTTTTATTGACGTATCTGTTGAAAAAACTAAAGTTGTATTTAGATATTTTAAATAGTTTTTTTCTTTGTTCTTTGTGTTTTTTTGCTTCCGACGACGGGAAGAGATATACTTCCCGAAAAGTTAAGCATTTTTTTGTCCGTTAGGCAAATTTGTTTATCAGTAAATCACTGCTGACAAGTTTGTCTCCGTTGGTTAACGCAGCAGTGTTTACAAAAAATAACTACTTTATTTTGCAGATTTTCTTACAGTACAAGTTCTGAAATACCCATAGGATTTTTTGAAGATCTACACAAATTATGTGATATTATTATTTACCTTGTTCTGATGTTGAAACTCCTGCACCTTCTGCATATTATGATGCATATTCTCGTTTGAATAGTACCCAGCATCATGAGAATTAGCCATGTGTGGTTGCAAACTATCAGAACCATCAGGACTGTACATGTTACTCGCCGCATAAGGGTAATGATTATATGCCCCTAAAAAATAAATATTAAAAAACAAAATCTTTAAATCAATTTTACAAAAAAATTACCATGCTCGGATGTGTGATATCCTTGTCCGTAACTGTTCTGAACCGAAGCACCTGGATATCCTTCAGCTCCATGAGCTTTGGTATAGGCATAGTACTGTTGCTGAGTGTATCCTTGATGGTAATTTTGTGACCTTGATCCTCTGGATGACCTGGACATGTTGTTATGTCCTTGTGTCCTTGTATAGCCTTGAGTGTCGTTTACTGTGGCATGGTCCGGATTGTACATACCTTAAAATATATTTAACATTAGTTAAATAATAAATAAAGAAGCTAAAGGAAGAGTAATGACATATAAAACAACCCCATAGTTCCCAGTTGACAAAGGAGTACGACGCAATATCCCCAAAGCTGTTTACAGTAACACTTGAAGAAATCTTCTGTCAACTGGACTTGACCAACAAGGGATTAAAAATAGATGAAGATTATCTTAATTAACCATCTTAAATTCGTTAAGGACATAGTCATGTGTGAGGAACCTCCTAAACATTCTACTAGGCATCAGAAGAGGACTTGGGAGACGCAAGCACTCTTGGTTGAAAAAGTATCGAGACTGGACTGGACTGAACTCACACGAACTGTTTCGAGCTGCTCAGGACAGACAGTGTTTCGTCGCGATTGTTGCCAACCTTTAGCTCATTAGAAGATGGTACTATAAGAAGAAGAAGAAAGAAGAAGACCACACCTGAGATAGGACCATGATATTAAGAAATTAGCAGGGATAATTAGGGCCCGAATGACAACAATAGACAACAATGGGCCCCACTACAAACAGAGGATGTGAGGGAGGCTACATCACAATTGGAAATGGTTGAATAAGCTGAAAATGATGGTCATGATGATGTAATTACTGATTTTTGACTAAATTTTTTTTAAAAGTATCATAATATCCACTTTTACAGCCGGTCATATTTTATAATTATTAATATTTACCTTCATTATACATTTGCTGAGTCATTTGATATCCAGTTTTACTTTTATTGTAATCGACTTGAGAATGAGGATTGACTTGGTACTGGTGGTTCGCAAAGTGACCTCCCGAAGCACCTCTAGCTGCAAATGGGGGAACTGCGTTTGGTGGCATGTTCTGAATGGTTACGGTTGCTGAAGCAATTGCTGTAGCAGTTGTTGGAGAGGATCTTTGTATTTGGGCGGGGTACATCATACTCGATGAGATACCTAAGAAAATATAAATATAATTCTTAGAATTTTCGTTTTGTTAGTATGTATAGCCACACATCGATATAGTAGAGAGTAAAGTAAAAAAAAATATGTAAAGAATGAATTAATAGATATGTATGTATGTAAATAAAAGAATGTACCTATCGTGTTTGAATGTAAGCCAGCTGTGCTACTTGTATGAGAAAGAGCTGCCGATGAATTTTTCGGTGACATCTTCATATTAACTAACGAACTACTAGATTCTGACTGATTTAAAGGTCCTATAAACACGTCTTTGTGACTTCCGTTGGGTGACACCTTTCCTAAACTGACTTTTCTATCACATGAATTTGGAGAGTTTCTTCTGTTTTCCACCTACAAATTTCCAAAAAAAAATATTATTTTCTCTAAGAGGATTTGAATTTTTTGTAACATTTACTTTAATATTTGTAGTACTAGGGACACTGGATAAGGTACCGCCTCCTTTTTTTGATTTCTGACCTCCGCCTGGTCCTCCTGGTCCAACACAGTCTTCGTTTGATCTCGAGTCCTCTTCGAGTAATTTGTCGTAAGATGCTGCACTCCCTAGGATAAAATCTTAATTTATTTGCGATAAAGACCATAAAAAAAGCTTAAATATTTTCAAGAAATAAGAAAATATATTTTCCTTATAGCGCGAGATATCCACCAGGGACGTGCACTGAAAAAATATGTGCACCACTGACTTTTTTAGAAAAATATTCCAGTGATAACCCATATGCACGTCCTTGGTAAATCTGGCGATAGTTTTTTAGCATTAAAATATGTAGAACTCATAGTAATTTTTGCCCCCAAATTTCATTCGAATCGCTAAAAGCACTTGGAAAAGAATTATTACACCCCCTGTAGTTACGAAACAAAGCAGAATCAAACCTATGTTTATATAAAAAATAAATCTTATTTTTACGTGAAGAATCTCCCCACGAGAGATGGCACAAGTTTTTTTGAAACACCCTGTATAAAGAAAATTGTGTTGATTGTATCAAGAAATATATTAGAAATTTCCAGATTTATTTATGTCCCTGGAAATAAACTATCTTACCTACGCTACTGGCTCCTGTAGAGTTCCCGCTGCTGAAAGCTCCAGTACTATTATTGTTATTTGTTGCACTAGGCGTGTTGTTGTTATTTCCCCTGGACGAGGCAATGTCGGGTATTTCGTCATGTGAGACGCAGAGTCCTACAAAAATTATGTTTTTTTATTTGTTAGGATTTCAAGACATACTATTTAGCAGGAAAAAAATGCGGTTAGAACAGGTTTACTTTTACACTGGATGCGCGTTTCGCTAACCATGTTAGCATCATCAGCAGATGATAATAAACTAAAATAAAATCTACAATTGGAGCGTTTATATACTCGCTCAGTGGCCACAGAGTGGACGTGGCAAGATCTAGTCAACCGGGTCAGAACCCACCGAGCGTAACAGTTAGATTTCCGCCACTAGAGTAGTAGGAACAAAGAACTTGAAGGAATTGGACCGTTGTCTCTGTTCATACTATCTTTACATTTATTAATTCTGATGCTTTCATATGCATCTAATTGCCTGTAATTTGAGACTTGTTTAAGTAATTTTAAGTTATTAAGATCTATACAATGTTCTTTATCAACAATATGTTCGGCAACGCAAGATTTATCAGGTCTACCATATCTTATCTGAGCTAAATATTCTTTAAATCTAGTTAATATTGATTTTCTAGTTTGTCCAACATATTTCTGATTACAATCTTTACAAGAAATTTCATAAATACCCGACCTTTCCAGTAGAGGTGTTTTATCCTTTGGATTACCTAATAATTGTTGTAATTTATTATTAGCACTATACACAAGTTTATAATTGACATTCTTAAAAGTTCCTTTTAGACCACGGGATAACTGTCTATCAAACGGTATTGAAAAATAATTTCACGTATCTTTCTCCACTTGAAAAGTCGAATTTTCAGAAATCATTAACCTATACCTACGTTTTCTAATTATTTTATCAACTAGTGAAGGAGAATATCCATTACACTCAGCTACATTCCTAATGTAATCTCTTTCTATTTCATATGTTTCGTTGGAAAGTGGCAAACTAAGTAATCTATGAAGTAAGAAATTTAAATATTTTATGTTCAACACTATGATATGATTCATTAGGAATATATCTGCATGTAGTGGTATTTTTCCTATAGATATCAACAGGTGTCTTGGCAGGAGATATGGCTGTCAAGTGAGACTATGTCACTGTGATGCTCTGGATTGCAAGAGACATTTTCTATTTGGGAAAGGAAGGCTAGACACAGAGGAAGTAGTAGTAGACCCTATCAAGGTCCTGTACAAGCTATAGTGCTGGGCACAGAGATAGAAAACTTAGAGGTCGCAATGTTTTGGTATAGGATGTCGCTAATATTGAGGAAAGAAAAAAGACACATTATTTGAAAATAAATGATTTTACCTGTTGAAGGCATTTCACAACCCTGACAACTCTTCTTTGACATTTCATCGTCTAGATATTTGTCGGTCAGTTTTGCACTTTTGCTTCCTTCGCTCGTTACGGAGTCTTTGTCGTCACCATCTTCAGACTGTTTGCCCAGAGTTTGACGTTTGTGTTTCATCCGTCGATTTTGAAACCACACTTTAACCTGGAACATAAATTAAAGTTGTTAGAAATAAAATAAAATATAGATACTATGATTTTTACAAACGATGAAGCGTTGTTTTACATAACAAACATTTTACAATGTACATTACAATAATTAGGGATCAGCTTTGTTCAATATAGTCAGTATTTTAATACTGTGTATTTTTTACATTGCCTGGCGCCCAATACTTTTAGTTTTAGTGTCATTTGATTTGCTCCAGTGAGATACAAACAAACCCATGACAGCTCTATTGACAAAAAGTTGTCTTACGTAAGGGACAATATAGTTTTGTAGATAATATTTTTTTTATTAACTAAATCTGAAATCATATCAGATTTTTTAACGAAAAATCATATCAGACCTTTTTTGAAGATCGTTCAATTTCATAAACAACAACAAACAAGCTGATTTGTTAGAACGTTAAAACACTAGTGCCTATACAAGTAAAAAATGAAACATTAAAGTTGTTGTAGGTGGTCTCGTATAAGTTTTTCGACTTCTCGGGCACTAACGTGGATCGCGCAGCTTCAGCAGCTTGTTGAATATCCAAAAACTCATCATTATCACTCATTTTTTCACAAAACTTTGTAGGAAATACGGCGACGTTTGAACCTGAAAGAACTTTGTCATTAAACAATGCATAAACAATGCCTTAGAAACCGATTACCAGAACATTTTAAAAAATGTTTAAAAATAAATAATAATAATAGCATGAAAATCTCAAATTATCCGCTTTCACAAAAAATCTTGTATGAAATTTGTTGCGAAAAGAGAGTTTTAAGCACTCGACACATTAGTAAGTGCAGTAATTTTGCGTCCCGTGCTTAAAACACATTCATTTCGCAACTTGTTACATAAATAACTATTTCGAAACCAGTTTAATTTGACATCGAAAGATTGAATTTGAAGGTGGCATGTTTGCTATTCTAATCAAAACCGTATTATTTTTTTGTTTAATTTAGTATTTTTGTAACTCAAGCACGAATTCGTATAAATCATTCAAAATTAACAATTTGCTTCATTTTAAGGAGTTCTTTGAAAAGTTTCAAATACATTTAATGTAGGTACTGTTAAATAAAATGGGGAGAACTTATGCATTATTTTTAAAATTTACATGGGATTTTCTATGTCCATCCACGTCGGCGATGCAACAGCTACCTTCTGTTTACATAAAATATTATATTATGTAACTGAATAGGACAATGCACACTATCCATTCCATTTCCCTTCCGTTCCATATCCTTTCCTTCCATACATTGTTTTGGCGGACGGACTGAAGCGTATCGGAAACAGGGTTGTCAAGTTCTTACATTTGTACCAGCTCTGTTAACATTTTGATGATATTTATTTATTCTATCACGTCTTAATTAAATCTATTACCTTTTTTAAATCATAAAACTTTCGTAATGATATAAATGGTACAATAAAAAGTATGGAACTGATACGGAATGGAAGCTTACGTATAGCGTCAATACAATAAAAATACGGAACGGATATGGAATGGATATGGAATGGAATCGGAAGGTATAGTGAGAATGAACCATTAGACGTATTTTTTTTCGGCAAGTTTTTGGTCTTCGTCAAAAGTCTTCGGCAAAAGAAATCATTTGTTGCCTATAGCATCTCTTGATATTTTTATCTGTCAGCGGGCATCTGTGTCGTAATGACAGGCCTGACCAGACGAGCAATTTTTTTTTCTCGTCCAGGCCGAATTAACCAAAATTAAACGCCTCTCCCGCTCGCAAGACAATTTCCAATTATTCTCGATTTAAGTAAAACCCACTTAATAGATCGAATAGTTACGGCTTGTCTTGCTCGCCTGGCGTCCCTCTTAATGGATTCAACTTTGATTAATGATCGATCTCGGGC